AACGTCATGTGGCTACGCTACAGGGGACATGGTTTGGCGTATAGTGGGCTTATCAGTAATAGAATATTCTGATATTTGATACATGTGATGTATGACAGGTATTATGCTAAACACACAATGTAGTGTATAACGGGTAGAATCCGAGCGTCATGATGTCCTTATAATTGCCCAGATCGCTGCTGAACGACCATTTTCGGTGGCGACGCACAGACGCGCCCCTTGCCATTTAGGCAAGGCAGGCAGCTGCCTGGGTTAGGCCCCCGAGGGCTGACTGATTTGACACAAGCTGTCGACTACGGGCTACAACAGCTACCCAGTGACGAGTTATTGGAGAAAAGCTCATTGTCTGATGCAAAACTTGCCACGTATTTTTATTAACAGTTAAAAATACCTGCCTGGACAGACATATGTCTTAATAGTGTATTGGTTAAGTTGCATCGGCTGTGTCGTGTCAACCCGGGATCGAATCCACACGTTTCCTGTACTTTGGATTAGCAAATCCAAAATACTGAACAAATCGACACTCAATTTAGGATCATGTAGTGGCTAAGAATAATACAACCTCATGTCCGCAACTCATTTTAATGGGGACATTTTACACATGTATATCCAAATGATGTGCAGACTGTTTAGATTTGAGAAAGTGAAATACTGTATGTGCTACAAACGCATTTCTGGGTTAACACGTGTTGGTATAGGTGATATATTAAAGTCTTTGATTGGGATCGGATCCGAGTCTTTGTCTGAAGGTTTCGTTTTTAAAAAAATTTCTGTCTTTGTTAAAAACTAATCAGCACTCAACATAGGATTATGTGGTGGTTAAGAATAAAACTTGTGAACTTATGCATTTATGTTAAGTTTCCAGGAAGCTTTCTATGCTCTATTGCCACCGTGTCACTATGAACAACGACGTCACTTCAAGATCCTCCTATTGCAGCAAAAGGGGGTTCCACAAAGCAGTTACTCAATGCTGTATGAATACTTGCACATGCCCAAGTGTCATTTTGCTTTCTGTTCTTGTATTTCCCCATGTAGAGAAATTGTCCTCACAGCTGTTTCCATCAGTTCACAAGTCAGTTGTTATAATTTGTCGCACCATCCCATGCCAAGACATGTAAACACATAAAACAAATTAAACAAGTGTTTTGTTTTTCTTTGTATGTTGTAGTGTTTTATTATTATCCTGGTCTGAAATAAACTGTATTACTTAAAGTGATGAGAGGCTGCAAACTTTCTGCAGTCTCCAAAATGGCTGCTGCAGTTACGTCCCCATGGAGTTTCATCAGTGTTTATGTCCAAAGGCCTCAGGGACCAATCAGGCGCAGCGCTTTGGTCACATATCCACAAAGGCCGCAGTAATGATGCCTATGGGAGAAACCAACACCACCCAAACCGGAGTCCAAACTGAACATTAATCGTTGAAGTAAAATGAGTATTTCATAATCAACAGACAACAGAACTCTTTGGCTACTATAAAACTATACATTTTCTTTTACAGATTTGTAACAGTTTGTAATATCACATGCATTAAATGGTAATGATACAACTTTTTAAACATGTTCTCATTTTCACGTCTTTTGAACTTTAACAAGTTTTCCTCATTGTGTTTTTGTCTTGACTCCTATCTGCGCTGGAGAAGCAGGAGCCTTGTGATGTTTTCAAAGGCATCTTGGAACTTAGCCTTGGCACTCAAACCTGAAAACAAACATATTGCTATCTTACATGGATGTAATGTGTATGTGTGGGCTGATAATCTGGATTTAAAAAACTAGATTGAATCTGGATTCACTGGATTCTGGAATTTAATTATATGTCCTCATTGATTCACACCACAGCGGCATTATATTTGGAATGTCATAAAAACAGGTAGGTAAAATCCTACTGCTGTTACGAGGGCGACCACTGCTCCTGATGTAAGCATAGTGGCATCAGGATAGATCAAACGCAGAGAATGAATAGTCCTATGGGGTTAAATAAGATGCCCCTTTCCCATTTACCTTACTTTTAAAGTCATAAAAGGGCCACAAAAATGACACAGAGGGCCACACTTGATTGCCTGGGTTTGGACATGCCTGATGTAATCCCTCTACAGCTACAGAATTCTGCAATTCTCTTTTATTTATAAGAGTAACATGAGTTTGATATATTTTGAGCACTAAATATGGGAAATATCCCCCTCTGTTATCTTATCAGAAGTCTGTTTGGTTATTAGATTTCTCCAGCGAAGCTCCGGTGCTAACCTGCTGTCTGCAAGTGTTGAGCTGCACTCACTGTATGCCTAGAATAGTGCGTGTGTAGAGCGGGGAGTCATTTTGAGAATTCCCTGATGCTAACATTGTTTATCGTGGAAGTAATTATTAAAAACCCAAAGGGGAGGCTTTTGTAACAGACTTTCTCTGTTATAATAATGGTATTTAGAGTAAAAATTAGTTTGTAAAATGTGACATTTCATCTTAATAATCATTCAATCATAATAATAATCAAAAATAATTTAAAAAAAAATTGTTGTCAGGTTGTGATGAGCACTGTGGAAAAGACAGATGCAGCCAGCGTAAGTTCAATTTGGTAGACGTCAGCCAAAGGTAACCCCTCCAGGCCGGTTCTCATCCCCAGCCTATCGCACTGCAAACGCCCCCTTCCAATCACCGGTCCAGCCAGGCAAGCTGCTTAAAAGCGGAGGAACTCCCATTCTCGGCCTCTTGAAGCTGCAGCAAAGAGCGAAGCCTTGCAAAGCGTCGTTCTGGAGGAATCGCTTTGTTCTACTCTCACTTACTTCGTGCGTGTCCCTGCTGTCCTCTGTCCTGCTGCGTGTCGTCTGCTCCTCCTCCACTTCGCTGCACCTGCTGCGGGTCTCGTGCTGTGGTCCGTGGGTCTTTGCCGCTCTCCTCCTTTGCGGGCTCTTTCTGCGGGTTCGCCGCTGCTCGTCTCGTCGCGGCCTGCTGCTGCATACGGTGCGGTGGGAGCCGTGCGCATCCCTGCCTCCTCGTGCCATACGGTGTGGTCCCGTCGTGTTGTCCCTTATCTTCTGGCGTTGCGGGTAAGTATGAGATCTGCGGACGGTTTATTCCCCTCGCATTGTCCTACAGGCTCAGTTGGCCCCGCGCTTGTAATGCAGGCTCAGTTGGCCCCGTGCATTGGTGGGCAAGCATCAGTTTAAAGCCCTCGCATTGGTCTGCAGGCTCTCTTTAACCAAGCTCCGTTTAAATCCTTCACTCTGACTGCAAGCTCCGTTTAATCCCTCAAATTGGACTGCGAGCTCTCAGTTTAATCCCTCACGGAACTGCTTATATCTGGAACTGCTTACGTATTATGGAACTGCTTACGTATTACGGAACTGCTTATGTATTACGGAACTGCTTATGTATTACGGAACTGCTTATGTATTACGGAACTGCTTATGTATTACGGAACTGCTTATGTATTACGGAACTGCTTATGTATTACGGAACTGCTTATGTATTATGGAACTGCTTTTATGGAACTGCTCATATTGGGACTGCTCATACCTGGAACTGATTATATGGTACTGCTTATACCTGGAACCGCTTATACAGTGCATGGAACTGCATATATTGGTTCTGCTTATATCTGGACCTGCTTATATATGGATCTGCTTATATACGGAACTGCTTATACATGGATCTGCTAATATATGGAACTGCTAATATATGGAACTGCTAATATATGGAACTGCTAATATATGGAACTGCTAATATATGGAACTGCTAATATATGGATCTGCTAATATATGGATCTGCTAATATATGGTGCTAATATATGGAACTGCTAATATATGGAACTGCTAATATATGGAACTGCTAATATATGGAACTGCTAATATATGGAACTGCTAATATATGGAACTGCTAATATATGGAACTGCTAATATATGGAACTGCTAATATATGGAACTGCTAATATATGGAACTGCTAATATATGGAACTGCTAATATATGGAACTGCTAATATATGGAACTGCTAATATATGGAACTGCTAATATATGGAACTGCTAATATATGGAACTGCTAATATATGGAACTGCTAATATATGGAACTGCTCATATCGGAACTGCTCATATCGGAACTGCTCATATCGGAACTGCTCATATCGGAACTGCTCATATCGGAACTGCTCATATCGGAACTGCTCATATCGGAACTGCTCATATCGGAACTGCTCATATCGGAACTGCTCATATCGGAACTGCTCATATCGGAACTGCTCATATCGGAACTGCTCATATCGGAACTGCTCATGCAATATATGGAACTGCTCATATCGGAACTGCTCATGCAATATATGGAACTGCTCATATCGGAACTGCTCATATCGGAACTGCTCATATCGGAACTGCTCATGCAATATATGGAACTGCATATATTGGTACTGCATATATATGGAACTGCTTGTATATGGAACTGCTTGTATATGGAACTGCTTGTATCTGGCTCCGTCTCCTCCCTCAACGACGCTGTCTGCCCGGACGCGGGGTGCCGCTCCGACCTGGCGTTCGGGTCCCGTCTGCAGAGCCGCTGGGACGGTGTATCTTTTTTTTACAGTGACGTCATCCCGTCCTCAGATGCCCTGCGGTTCTTCACGGACGCAGCCCCGTCCGTGGGTTTTGGGGGTCTCTTCCAGGTCCAGTGGTTCGCCGGGCCCTGGCCCGACGCCTTCCCTCAAAGCATCTCCTCCGCGCTCCCGATAACCTTCCAACGTCATCCGTCTGTTTCAGAGCCCAACTCAAGTCCGTACTGCTGCTTGTAACCTGTCTCCCCATCTCTACACAGCCCACTCCTTCGGATAGGCGCCGCCACGCGCGCCGCGTCCCTTGGGCTCCCCTATTCCGCCCTCCAGCAGCTGGGCCGCTGGTCATCATCGGCCCTCTCCTCATACATCAGGCCTGACACTTCGACCATCCTGGCAGCCCAGCGCCTCTTTGCATCTCCATAAAACACTTGCAAACTTCCTGGTGGCGGCAGCAGCTGAGTATCCGCAAGCATGGTCGCAGCAGCTGAGTATCCGCAAGCAATGGTCGCAGCAGCTGAGTATCCGCAAGCAATGGTCGCCCGCAGAGACTGTTCGGCAGAGACTGTTCGGCAGAGACTGTTCGGCAGAGACTGTTCGGCAGAGACTGCTCGGCAGAGACTGCTCGGCAGAGACTGCTCGGCAGAGACTGCTCGGCAGAGACTGCTCGGCAGAGACTGCTCGGCAGAGACTGCTCGGCAGAGACTGCTCGGCAGAGACTGCTCGGCAGAGACTGCTCGGCAGAGACTGCTCGGATGAGGATCCGCAAGTTTGGTCACAATAGATAGCGGTCACAGCATATAGTGATAGCGGTCACATTATATAGCAAAAAATGGTTAGCGGTCACAGTATATAGCGATAGCGGTCGCAGTATATAGCGATAGCGGTCACAGTATATAGCGATAGCGGTCACAGTATATAGCGATAGCGGTCACAGTATATAGCGATAGCGGTCACAGTATATAGCGATAGCGGTCACAGCATAGAGTAGTCTCGACGTCTGTCCCCTTCAAACCAGGCTGCAAAACTCCATCAACTCACAACCTTTTGGGGATTGGCACGCCCCATCGCAGAGCCCCTCCGATCTGAAGGCCGCACCGGGGCCTAGGGCGCCAAACCTCCTCCCAATAAATACTCAAAAGCTTCTTGTTTCACGTCTCTCCAAATTGAAATGCAGCCAGCGTAAGTTCAATTTGGTAGACGTCAGCCAAAGGTAACCCCTCCAGGCCGGTTCTCATCCCCAGCCTATCGCACTGCAAACGCCCCCTTCCAATCACCGGTCCAGCCAGGCAAGCTGCTTAAAAGCGGAGGAACTCCCATTCTCGGCCTCTTGAAGCTGCAGCCACCGCCTCCCCTCCTCCTCCTCTTCACCCTGCTTCATTCTGCCTTCAATCTGCTTCCCGCTGCCAAATGCCGCCACCAGTGCCTAGGTCCCGGGGGATTGGCACGCCCCATCGCAGAGCCCCTCCGATCTGAAGGCCGCACCGGGGCCTAGGGCGCCAAACCTCCTCCCAATAAATACTCAAAAGCTTCTTGTTTCACGTCTCTCCAAATTGAACTGTATCAGAGGCAGATGTCGAGGCCGCTGCTGCTACTGTTACTTCCACTATTGCTGCTGCTGCTGCTGTTGCTGTTGCTGCTGCATAAATGTCATCAGAACATGTGAGATGTGTTCTAGCTATCCATGATTTGTAATCGATAAACAAATTAAAATATTGGTTCTTGTTTGTTGTAGTTCGTCTTGTAATCCACAGAATCTGGTGGTGATGGAGAATGATGTCTCTGGAAAATAAATTCACACAAAAATCATGAATTAAAACAGACCCCGTTCTCCTGAGACTACTGATGAAAATTAGCCTTTTGCTACAATCAGACGTGTCAACATAAATGTTCATCCATATGTTCATTGACATGTACTGTCCCAGTCAAATAAATACAAATACAAGCAGAAGTAGAATGCCTTTTACAAACATTCACATGCTCATGAATCAATCATTTCACATTGTTTTTTTTTATATCAACAGTAAACAAAATACCTATACATCATTCCCAGTCTTTAAGAGGAGGCTCTATGAGATATGAGATTCACAAAATACATACTCAATTGAAATCAGATCTATTAGTATGATTCCACTCTGTACCTGTAGTATTTAATTTGTGTGTGTTTTTCCCCTAAAGACACAACATGCGTTGCATAATATTTTTATAATGGACTGAAAAGACTCATAGCGTTAGCTCACCTCGGGACAAACTGAGTTCAACCCAAGCCCCGGCGGTTTGTGCTCAGTGGCACATTGGGCACAGGGGCTGAAAGATTAGCGGAACTCCTCCTGGAACTCGTAAAGATCCATGGGAAACTTGCCTGTATTTGGGCATCGTCTGGTCCTCCCGGTTCTGCGCAGTGTATGATCTCCCATAATGCGTTGCACCAAATACGCATGTGTGGCTCTCATGCATGTGCACAGAGGGGCTCGGCCGCGCTCTGACCAATCAGAGCTCTTCATCAGAGCGGGAGTTAGAGCATGAGTTAAATAGAGCGGGAGCCAGACGGGCAGAGTTTGTGGCACTAAAGTGTGGATTTAAAGAAAACCGAAGGATTTAAGAAAAAAAAAAAAGTTTTGGATGACATGGGATACTAAAATCCCCACAAAATCCGACCTTTATTAAAGCTGTTGGTTCTCTGTAAGCTGAAGTCGAGCTGTGTTAGTTTACATTAAATTCTATGGGAAAACATTTCTGGGTAGCCCGTGTGAATTTAGTCTGGTTTAGTCTGCAGTACCGTGAGAATCCCCCGAGCACGAGAGTTCTTCAGCTCCAAGCTAGTACTACCCTATCCCGTTAATATAATAGATCCATGGTTCAACCACGGTGGATAACAAGGTTATAAACAAACGCCTTTGGCAGATCTTACGGCCTCATGTCTGTCATTGATCACAACATTCGTGTTCACAAATCAAATTGTAAAGAATGAAGCAGTACTTACCAAAGACACATGTTACTGTGGATGAAAGTGAGCGATGCAGACAGAAACTTGTTGTTAACAGAACGTGCACGTGGAGCATGCTCGAGCATGATTCTTGTACACTTTTGAAGATTCGTCAAAGATTGGAGAGAGCTTATCAGAAACTGATAAGATTACTGGATTGATTCAAGAACACATTTAGACATGTTTGTACAATGGAGAGGAGTCAATATTCATACAGAGCTTTACAGCTTTAAGATGAACCCAGGAGAAATGGGAACAAAAACAAAAGTGCTGTGTTTTTTGTGTAGTTGTCATCTGAGGCAATAAAGTCATTTTGTTGTATTATATATCTTGTGTGAGATGTATGTTAAATAAAATGAACATTAACATCATGTTTCAACCTGGAGAGACTACAAGAGACAAGATGCCTTTTAAGGGTTTTTATGCGTATGAGAGCGTTTTATGGACCGAGTTTGTTTTTATGTTTGGTGCATAGGCCCCGGCTGTGGCCGTGCTCTGAGGGGATCTGCGCCTGGGTGCAGATCGTGATCCCCAAAAGAGAGCTTGGCTAGCGATGAGTTTACACTGGCTTGGTTGCTGCACTTGTGAAAGCGCATGGTGTGCCTGCTAGTTTTCGAGCGCGAGCTCGGCTCTAGCGCTAGGCGTTGGCACGCGCACGGGCACGCTCGAGTGCGCGGCATGCTGGAATGAGAAGTTGCCACCACCAGGAGATATATACATACAGTGCCTTTTGTGAAAGTATTCGGCCCTCTTGAACCTTTCAACATTTCGCCACATTTAAGGCTTCAAACATAAAGATATAACATTTTAATTTTTTGTCATGAATCAACAACAAGTGGGACACAATCATGAAGTGGAACGAAATTTATTGGATAATTAAAACTTTTTTAACAAATAAAAAACTGAAAAGTGGGCCGTGCAATATTATACTTTACTTTCAGTACAGCAAACTCACTCCAGAAGTTCAGTGAGGATCTTTGAATGATCCAATGTTGTCCTAAATGACTGACGATGATAAATAGAATGCACCTGTGTGTAATCAAGTCTCCATATAAATGCACCTGCTCTTTGATAGTCTCAGGGTTCTGTTTAAAGCACAGAGAGAACCATGAAGACAAAGGAACACATCAGGCAGGTCCGAGATAGGTTAAAAGCCCGATTTGGATACTAAAAGATTTCCCAAGCTTTAAACATCTCAAGGAGCACTGTGCAAGTAATTATATTTAAATGGAAGGAGTATCAGATACCTGCAAATCTACCAAGACCCGGCCGTCCCTCCAAACTTTCATCTCAAACAAGGAAATGGCTCCTTCGCTCCTGTGCAGACAAACTCTGTGGAGTGATGGAGCGCGTCTTCAACCTGAGCCTCAAGCTGAGGGCGGTACCACAGCTCTGGAAGACCTCATGTGTGGTACCGGTGCCCAAGAAACCACGGGCCAAAGACCTCAACGACTTCAGGCCAGTGGCTCTAACATCCCACTGCATGAAGACACTGGAGAGACTGGTCCTGGGACATCTCCGCTCCACTCTAAGCCCAGCGATGGACCCGCTGCAGTTCGCCTACAGGCCGGGCATCGGAGTCGAGGACGCCATCATCTCCCTCTTCCATCGCTCCCTGTCCCACCTGGAGAAACCCGACTCTACTGTGAGGATCCTCTTCTTTGATTTCTCCAGTGCCTTCAACACCATCCAGCTGCGGCTTCTCAGGGACAAGCTGGAGACAGCCGGTGTGGACTACGACCTGTCCGAGTGGATACTGGACTACCTCACAGACAGACCCCAGTTTGTGAGAACCAGGGACTTTGTGTCTGAGGTCCTGACCTGCAGTGTGGGGGTCCCCCAGGGAACTGTCCTCGCACTGTTCCTCTTCACCCTCTACACTGTGGACTTCAGACACAACACGGACGGTTGTGTCCTCCAGAAGTTCTCCGACGACTCTGCCATCATCGGACTCAGCTCCGAGGACGATGACACAGAGTACAGAGGAGTTATACAGGACTTTGTGGACTGGTGTCAGCGGAACCACCTCCTCATCAACGCGGGGAAGACGAAGGAGATGGTGGTGGATTTCCGCAGACGTCACTCTGCCGCTCCAGTGAACATCCAGGGAAAGGACATCGAGAGAGTGGACTCGTACAAGTACCTGGGTGTTCATCTTAACCACAAACTGGACTGGACTCATAACACAGACGCCCTCTTCAAGAAGGGCCAGAGTCGCCTCTACCTGTTGAGGAGGCTTAGGCCTTTTGGAGTGCAGGGGCCACTCCTGAAGACCTTCTATGACTCTGTGGTGGCATCAGCCATCTTGTACGGTGTGGTCTGCTGGAACAGCAGCATCACAGAGAGGGACAGGAAGAAGCTGGACAAGGTCATCAGGAAGTCCAGCTCAGTCCTGGGCTGTTCCCTGGACACAGTGTAGCAGGTGGGGGACAGGAGGGTCCTGAGCAAACTAACATCTATAAAAAGTCTTGTTTAAAGTTTGCCACAAGCCACCTGGGAGACACACCAAACCAATCTGGAAGAAGGTGAAACCAGATGAACCAGATGGTCAGATGAAACCAAAATCTGACTTTTTGGCCACAATGCAAAACGATATGTTTGGCGTAAAAGCAAGACAGCTCATCACCCTGAACACACCATCCCCACTGTCAAACATGGTGGTGGCAGCATCATGGTTTGGGCCTGCTTTTCTTCAGCAGGGACAGGGAAGATGGCTAAAATTGATGGGAAGATGGATGGAGCCAAATACAGGACCATTCTGGAAGAAAACCTGTTGGAGTCTGCAAAAGACCTGAGACTGGGACGGAGATTTATCTTCCAACAGGACAATGATCCAAAACATAAAGCCAAATCTACAATGGAATGGTTCACAAATAGACGTATCCAGGTGTTAGAATGGCCAAGTCAAAGTCCAGACCTGAATCCTGATGATGATGAGAGGGAGCGCTGGGCTGCTAGGATGGATGCAGAGTCTGGACTGATGTATGATTTGAAGGCGATAGAGGACCAGCGAAACACTGACCTTGGTAGAATCCCCCAAAACCCATGGACGGGCCAGCATCCGTGAAGAACTGGAGAGAGTCCGAAGACCAGACCACGCCGTCGTAAAAGGAGACACCGCTCCAGCGACCGAGCAGGCCGGACCAGAATGTGAGGTCCGAACGGCACCCCGCGTCGAGGGGGTGGCCGGGCCGGTGGTCTTCTCCGCAGACAAAGGGACCCTGAGGGTAGAGAAGGCCCATCCGAGCTTCTGCAGGAAATCCCCTGAGCCGTCGGTGGGGGGATCGACCACGAGGAAGTCATCGAGGAGGTGGAGAAGAGAGGGGAGACACACGCAGTTAAGTAAAATCCAACAATTGTTAAAAAGGGAGGGGCTGCTCCTACAGCCGAACGTCAGGCACACTGCAAAATAAAACTGCGGGTCCCGTTAACGCCGAATAAATGCCAGTGGGCGGGGTGGATAGGAAGGATCTTGAAGGCGTCCGTGATGTCGGCCTTGGAGAGCCAAGCGCCGTGGCTGAAGGACTTAATCAGCCTGATGGCGTGGTTGACCGTGGCGTAGCGCAGAGAGAAGGGTTCAAGGGGGTATCAGGCTGTTGATGCTGGGCGTGGGCCCGGAGCGAGGGTGGGACCGATCGAACATGACGCGCTTCTTCCCGGAGTACTTCCTGGTAGCGACGCCCAGCGGACTTGTGTGGAACGGGGAAAAGGGGGGCCTAGAAAATGGGCCAGCGACCTCCCTGGCCAGGAGCTGGGAAACGACCAGGGGTTCTCTGAGTGCAGGTTACACAACACGCAGGACACAGACGGGAGGGACGTGACGCTGACGAAGAAGCCAGGAGGAAGTTAACGAAGGCTCGATCAGGGTGGAGCGAGAGGGCGTGGTCAAGCACGGGCACCAGGAGGGGCGTGGACAGATGGCCGTCGATTAGTTCCTGGACAAAGGATGGCCGGAAAGGCGGCCCCCCAGGGGACTCCAGGGGCACACGTTACGCAGACAGAAATTAGCACCTCAGGGTCCAGGAACAACCAGTCCATCCTGAAGTTTGCCTGAGAGATCTGGGCCACTGCTTCGACTGTGCTGAGCTGGCCGGACACTGAAGCCATCGACCGCTGGAGGGAAGCCACAGCAGAGAGAATGGCACTTGCATGGGTGTCAGAGAGCCCACGATCCGGATCCGCCGAGGAGAGGGCTGCTGCCACCGGCACTGCAGCCAGACGCGGCCGGGCAGAGCCGGGCGCTGCTGAGGCCCGAGCAGGCGAGCCAGGACTGAGAGTGAGTGGACGGCTCCAGCATGGCGTGGAGGGGGAGCCCGGATACACAGTGGCCCGCTCTGGCCGGGCAGGCGGAGAGTGGTGTAAACACGGCCGATGCATGTGCCTGCTCTTGCACAAGCGCTTCCCCAAGAAAGGAGCCAGAGCCCGTGGGGACAGAGAGGAGCCGGCTGACAGCTGCTCGTATAACTCCTGCAGCTGGAGTGAGGAAGCCCCGAGCCACAAGGTACTCAGGGATCGGCCCGACCTCCCTGGAAGTCAGGTGGGTGCTCTTCCGCCCCGTGGAAGGGCCAGACGATGGGGCGAAGAGCGGAGGCGAGTTGGGAGCAGACATGGCAGGTGTCTGCTACAGAGCCAGCGAAGGGGAGATCCCCGCGACTCACCAGCACAGACAGCTCACGTATGTACACGCTCATAAATGCACTCTCAGCTGCCGAAACGTAATCCCGTAGTTTACTTTGAAACGTAGCAGAAGTTGTAACCGTACAAAGACCACCAAACTGAAGATGCGCATAGACTTGCGGCTTGAAAGGCTGTTTGATGAGCTGTGCTCTGCTGGCAGGGAGTTGATGATTAGGACAGGCTGGGTTAGGAGTGGTCCAGCCTGGTGAAGTGACGTAGGTAGTCCATCCTGAACCTCCTCTTAAGCTGCATTTTTGTCCCATGTTGAGAGTAGTCTGCAATCCATTTTAACTATCCCTCCAGGCCTGTAAATGTACTGAGAGGCGATCCAGGTGCTCTGCGATGGTCCTCTCTCTGTCCCTGCTCAGACTGTTAACAAAATGTCCTACCCCCAGTTTTATGAAAATGTCTAGAAGAATGTGCTTCTGAATACACCCTCTGCACCCTTTCCAGTCTGGTCTGGAATGTTATGTTCTAACATTGTCATTGAATCTTCCCTAAACTCACTAAACTCAGGCTAAACATTAAACAACGGTTTTTTATGCAAACACCTAACGATTACTATAAGAACACTTTATAAAAACACTTGATGATTAATCATTAGTATAGAATATTTCACGGGGACATTTCATGATTAAATATAGAACTTCATATTTTCATAGATGTTGTTACATGGATGAAAGAAAATGTGTCGACGTGTGCTGCATTTCTGAAATATGCGACACTATGCCAGCAGAGTATTGCAGTGTAGATAAATATATGATTAATATAATATTTTTTATCTTCTGGGCTGAATGGCGAAATAAAAGACATTCACTCTGAGAATATATCCTGTCTTTTCAGCCACTGCTTGGAAGGGATCTATTTTTTATATATTTGACAAAAACATCTAGAATTTTCCAGTATCTTTCAAGGATTCACTATGGAACAGGAATGCATTCATTGATTTCAGACCACCATTTTCATTAGATTATTTTCATTAGATTAACAGTATGAATAAACCCTAAACTGGGATTGTTACTTAGATCAGACTACAATATGAACTTTTACGCATCTTTGATAAAGTAATTTAGTTTTTTTAAATCGAAAATAAATAAAAAATGCAAAAAGAGATCTGAGGCGCTCTGATGAACGGTTTGACGCTAATAAAGATTCACAGAAAGCTGGTGTCCCTGTGACAATACATGCCCTGCAAATGGGAATGCGAGACATTCACATAAGTTATAAGAAAGCATGTCTCGATTCTGTACAGCATAGAAGCCTTGGCGCGTGGTAAAAATGTGTTCTCTATTTTATCTGTGTAAATGTATGAATGAGACGAATGAATCATCAGCATGTATCAAAGCCAAGTATTTTATCAATAACCTTTCAAACTGAAGTAGAAAATCAGAAACAAACCAACGATGCTGGTGAAAAACGTATACAACCAATGGACTTTGTCAGATCTTAACTATGTCTTTATTGTGTTGTCTTAAATGTTTTAAAAGTCGTTCTGACTTTGAAATACAACGGTCTAAAGGAGGGTATTATAAGGATGGCAAATGGTGGGTGGAAAACATTCAGGTGATGTTCCCGGGTTTGAAAAGAGTCATATGTGGATCCTTGTCAGAGGTGTGCAGGGGACATGTGCGCAACTGAAGGCCAGGCAAACTGTGTACTTACAAGGCAAGTCAAAAACGGTCAATCCCATTGGAAAAAGACCAGGAAAAATCATTGGAATAGGTGCATTATAATGATTAGAGTTTAGATATAAGCTTTTTGCCGTGGACGTTTATACCCCTGACTAGATCTGCAATCAGACCCGAAAAAACTATGGAGTCTTTAAAATCTGCATTGAATGAAGCAGCTCCTATAAAATAGAAAACTATGAGGATTAAATAATTGTTGCCCTGGGACAATATCCAACTGAATACTTTAAAACTGGAGAGGCTATATCGGCACTCCCACTCGGAGCCTGCCCTCAGGGAGTGGAGAGCAGGTCTCCAAAACTACAAGAATGCACTTTGTAGGGAAGTAATCCTTAAATTAAATACAAGTTTGTGTTCAATTTAAGAATATAAAAATAATTTACAGAAACAAAGTAACTGCACTTAATTCAGATCACAGGTTTTTATTCAAGTTTTTCAACAGTTTCAGTCAGCTCCGCTTTATATTAAGGTGTGCTTGTTAAGTATTAATAAGGTATTAATAGACATTAGCAACATGCTTATAGATTGCTTATATGTACTTATAAATATATTAATAAGCTGCTCATTTCACTATTCTCTAAATGATGTTGTTCTAGTTATATGCTTTTAAGAATTTAATAAGTAATTAGTAAGATACTTATTAAACGAGGAATATGTTTATAAATATATGAATAAGCTGGCTATTAAACTATTATCGATACCATGTTAATAGGCCACTAACAATATGCCTATAAAGATATTAATACGCTGCTTATTAATAGGCAATAGTGGTAATAGGCCACTAAAAATATGCGTTAATAAACTGCTTATTACACTATTTTGCAGTACCTTAATCTAAAGCGAGGAGCATTTTTGTTAATGCAGAAAAAAACACAACAATGATCTAAGATGTTTTTATTTATTCAAAAAGCAACAATTAAAGTCTAAATGAAAAAATATATCAAAATTAAGTTTGTGCCAAAAGTTTGTTACTAACTTCAAGGAGCCATGATGAACCCACTCATGCTCCAACCTGCTTGAATTTGGCTTTGGCAAAACAGTGAATCAACTGACAGGGGTGGGAACCTAAGGGTACCTCACGATACGATACGATACACAGCTCACGATAAAGATTACAATAACGATTTTATCACAATATGACGATTATTGATATATTGGTCAGAAATATGCAATATGCCAATTTATGGCATAAATAAAATAAAAAATACTCTTTATTTAATGATAAATAGAATGGAGATGCGTACTGTGGCCATATATTCAGAAGGAGGAAAAAAAAACATTTTTTTTTTTTTTTTTTTTTCAAAATTGATATTGATACTTGGCAAATGCATATCGATAATCGAATCGCGGGAGAAAGTATCGTCACACCCCTATTAGCGGAACTCGCCTATTTTTGGGCATTGTCTGGTCCTACCGGTTCTGCGCAGTTGACAAGCTCCCATGATGCTTTGCGCCAAATACGCGTGCGTGGCTGTCATGCACGTGCACATAGGGGCCGCGCTCTGACCAATCAGAGCTGCTGATCAGAGTGGGAGTTAGAGCGGGAGTAAGAGCCAGACGAGTAGAGTTTGTGCCAGTAAAATGTGGATTTAAAGAAAACTGAAGGATTTAAGAAGAAAAAAGGTTCAGGATGACAAGGGACACTAAAATCCCCACAAAATCCGACCTTTATGAAAGCTGTAGGTTCTCTGTCTGCTGAGGTCGAGCTGTTTTAGTTTACATTGAGTTCTATGGGGACAATCTCTGGGTAGCCCACGTGAATTTAGTTTGCAGTACCATGAGAATCTCCCGAGCTACAAGCTAGTATTACCCTATCCAGTTATTATAATTGATCCATGTATACAACGCACCTGTGGCACAACCATGGAACTATAATAATAACTGTATAGTGTATTCCTAGCTTATAGCTGTCCCACCCATGGGCACAGGGGGCGCTGTGGTACTGCAGACTAAATTCATGAGGGCTACCCAGAAAAAGTCCCATAGAACTCAATGTAAATTAAAACAGCTCGACCTCAGCTGACAGAGAACCTACAGCTTTCATAAAGTTCGGATTTTCTGGGGATTTTAGTGTCCCTTGTCATCCTGAACTTTTTTTCTTCTTAAATCCTTCAGTTTTCTTTAAAGTGGTTCTCACCCCCGCTCCGCGGAGCTTACGTCACTCACATTTCCTGTTCAAATCTTCCTCTAAATGGGCGTAGCCTGGAGGACTAAAGGGGGCGTGAACGAGACTGGGCCGTTTACATATCTCTGGGCAGGGGGCTGCTGACGTCAGGTCTCAGGCGCCAGATTCAAAATTCAAATGTAGTAATACAGGTCGCCAGCAGATGGCGCCTCACAGATGGTTTTAGGCAGAAAGTTTAACTTTCAACTAATTTGCACCAAAGTGACAAAATTATGACCAGGATATGTAGACAACACTATTGGACACTCATTTATACCGTTTATCAGCAAAAAAAAAAAGTGGATTTGAGGGCGAGTTGTCCTTTAAATCCACATTTTACGGCCACAAACTCTACTCGTCTGGCTCCCGCTCTAACTCCCGCTCTAACTCTCGCTCTGATCAGCAGCTCTGATTGGTCAGAGCACGGCCCCTCTGTGCACGTGCAGGACCACGCAAGCGTATTTGGCGCAAAGCATCATGGGAGCTCGTCCACTGCGCAGAACAGGGAGGACCAGACAATGCCCAAAAATAGGCGAGTTCCGCTAATCTCTCAGGCTCGTGAAGTCAGTTGATTCACTGTTTTGCCAAAGCCAAATTCATTAACAGAGCAGGTCGGAGCATGAGTGGGGGCATCATGGCTCCTTGAAGTTACTAACAAACTTTTGGCACAAACTTAATTTTGATATATTTTTTCATTTAGACTTTAATTGTTGCTGTTTGAATAAATAAAAACATCTTAGATCATTGTTGTGTTTTTTTCTGCATTAACAAAAATGCTCCTCGCTTTAGATTAGGGTACTGCAAAATAGTGTAATAAGCAGTTTATTAACGCATATTTTTAGTGGCCTATTACCACTATTGCCTATTAATAAGCAGCGTATTAATATCTTTATAGGCATATTGTTAGTGGCCTATTAACATGGTATCGATAATAGTTTAATAAGCAGCGGTAACGCTTTATATTAAGGTGTGCTTATTAAGTATTAATAAGGTATTAATGGACATTAGCAATTCAATTTGGAGAGACGAGAAACAGGGAGTTGAGTATTTTATGAAAGGAGGTTTGGCGCCCTAGGTCCCGGTGCGGCCTTCGGATCGGAAAGGCTCCTGCGATGAGCGCGCACAATCCCCCGGGACCTAGGCACTGGTGGCGGCATTTGGCAGCGGGAAGAAAATTGAAGGCAGATTGGAGGCAGGG